TCTTTCCTATAGTCCCTCACATTAAAAGTGATTTCCAATCCATCAGCTCAATGGGATTCTGCCACTGCGAAAGCACCTTCGACCTTAGTTTCCCTTTTGAAAAAGATTCTTTTAAACACAAAATTGGATTCAATTTCTCCTGTCAATGGTACGGTTAATCCTTCTTTCTGGAAAACTGGCTTGCAAACTGCTAAAGTGGCACAATAATCTCATCTACAAAGTGAGACATGCATGTTTTGTTGGTGCCACAGTATTTCAGCCAGAGCAGCAGGACTCTAATGCTGGTGAAGATTTTGCCAGAAATCTGTCCGGTATACCCTAAGACAGAAAAGAAAAGTACCCTTTTTGTGGATGCTACGTCTTTAGGTTAAATATGGAAAATGCTGTTAGTTTGTTACACTAAACAATAAAGATATGCAAATGCTTGTGCCTTAGAGCACAAGTCCTGAAACAAAGTCAAATTTCCTCTTCATTTTAAAAGAGGAAAATTTGTCTATAAATTTGTATGTAGGCAAAAAAAAATACAGCCCTTATCTGCAATAATTATTTTTTTCTAAGCAAACTGAACATAATGCAACAGTTCATTCAGAATCCAGAGCTATGTGCCTACTTAAATCCTTAAACTAAATATCAAGTTAACAAGTCATACTATTGTTGTTACACCAAAAGGGGAGCAATTATACCTAGAGATAAACGCCAACATTTTTTTTAACAAGAACAATTAAGTAAACCTATACTGGCCTAAACATTTAATTTTGGTAAAATTACAGTAATGTAAATTACCATCTTTACTGACTACATTTCACAGGGCAATCTGTCCAGGTATCCACAGATGCAACCTTCCTATTTTCTCCTATGTGCTAATTCATTCCCCTCCCTGCAGACTACTTGGACATTATCGGCTAACTCAGACCATGAAAGGTATGTACAGTGATGTACTATGCTGAAATTATTTCTACCCAACAGCATTTGATTGGAATGATTTTCATGCACTACCATTTGATGCCTATAAATGGACACTTGTGATTCTGCATATGATCTATGGGTATCCTATCTTCAGCCTTCTCTCTCTATGTCACCAGTAGTAACAGAACTATTTACAAATGTAAACTATGCCATTAAAATTTAAAATAAATAGAATAGTATACACTACATTGTGTAGCAACTTCAGAATGAGACAATAAAACCCAGGTGATTACATCTTCCACCATTAGGCAAATGATTTGTGTGTATGGTGCTGAACAATTCTGATGAAAGAAGGAAATCCTTGGCTCACTGTCCACTTTTTAAGATCTTCTTCGATTTTCCTTCTTCACGCTGGATAATGACGCAAAAACTCCTTAAGCTTTGTTGGATAGTCTGTCATCACTCCTGTTGCTCCCAAATCAAATGCTCTCTTATATTCCTGTTCTTCATTCAGTACCCATACATACACCTACACACAAACACAGAATGAAGTGGTCATTAAGGAAGTTGTCATTATTAAAAGGAAACATGAATAAATAGGGAAGATTGTGGCCTAAATCATCTAAATCATTTGTTATTGGGGGAGGAAAGCCAGGTGTTTCCTGGATGCTTGCATCATGGTATCAAGATCATATATAAAAACAGATACCTGATTACAAATTTAGGGGAAAAGATTTTACCAACAAATGGCACAAAACCCCAACTTCTAATGGTCTTTGAAGGGATGTGTGCAACTGTTCAGCTATCCCAAGTTAGCAAAACCATTAACTAATATGTACAGCTAGTAAGGGGGAAATAGGTTAGGAGATTTTACAGAAAACTTTAGAAAAAATAACCACTTCAGATAACAAGCGTTTTAAATTAAATGCTTCATCAAAAAAGTCATTAATCCCATGCACTCTCTGAAATTCAAATCCTGAACAGCATGTGCTAATGGCTGAAATTTAGAGAGCGAGTTTAAAACAGTCTATGGATCTGACCAGGCTGCGAACCCAACAGTAATTCATGAACTGCTCACCACAGACAGGCAAGCTAAAGTGCAAACAATAAACAAGAAATAAAAGTGAAATTTAGGTAAATTTTTAAATGCATTTTATTTATCTAAAGTGCTATCAGCAACAAGGATGAGGAAGTGTATGCATTTATAGGGATGCACCGATTAAGATTTTCTTGGCCAATACTGATAGCTGATTATTAACCAAGCATATCAGCTGATGCCGATCCAATAACCGATATTTAGTAATAACGCAAGGCATTTTAAACTATGGACATAAATAAAACTCTTTTTTTGTTTTACATTTAACACACACAAACTAGCTTTAGCTCAAATGCCCCCACTGCCATTTCTAAGCGTGGGGACACTGATACGGGAGACAAGGCAGCATTTTAATTAGAGCGGCTCTTGGAGGCAAGAGGGAACCCGGGTGTCCAGGGCCCTGGCCAGAAGGCATAATTATCAGAAAACATTATCAGCTACAACGGTCGATAATGTCATTTCCCTTTTAATGGTGCTGATCTGATAGGCAACCGATATATCAGTGCACCTCTAATTGTAAATTATTTTATTTTGATAAAGCCTGTTAAAACACACAACACGACAGAGCCTACATGTATGACAGCTCCACTCCCTGCAACATTTAGGAACAAGTCCTTTGATTTAGAAATCTGTTAAAAGCCTTTTCATATGAAAAAAGCTTCAGGTCAACAGTGAAAAAAGAAGCTGCAAATATTAGTAATCAGCCATAAGGCTTCATTCATTTAACTCACTTGAACATCTGTAAAAGCCATTTGGCTAACACCACGGCATCCTTTCAATTATCAGAGCAAATCTGCTTGCCGTTCCAAGCTCTGATCTGATTATAGCAATACGAGGAGTTGAAGTGGAAGGATGGGGCTAAACTTTCCTATATTTTAAGCCTATTACCAAAATGCCATTTCACAAACGACAAAGCAGGTTTGCTTTTAAATATACCATACTATACCTGAATGCCTCGAGCAGTGAGGTGGTCAAATAAAGTTTTCCTCATTAACAATCTGCAGAGAAGAGAAAAGAAAATCTGATTTTGTCCAGTGGCTGAAACACACTAGGTATCTCAGACTGTGACTGGTTCATAATACCTTAATGTTTTGTGCCAAATGGCCCACGAGAGTACACAATTCAGGACTTCTGCTGGGCAAGACACCTATATTTCTGGGGTCAGGCAAAATTGTATCAAGCAGTGTGGCAGGAAATGGCCATGTGAAATGGAAGGTCAGATTCTGTACCAGTGTACAATGACAGGAAACTACTAAAATAAAAAGTAGTTCAAGATAATTTTATGGGTACAAGAAAGACTCCTGCCTAATGGTGGTGCTCCTTGGTGTTTATTGCACAGGATAAACATACAAGTAACACAGAGAACATGGGAAAAGATCTTGGTGTGCTGCATGGGATGCCTATCACATTGCCCGATGCATACTAGTTACAACTATTTGACAGTGTGCAAACCACTTAATTTGAGTAATAATCAGTCCTAGTCGCCTGACGTAACAGTCGGCATATAATACATCACGAAGCTATTAAAAATCTTACGCGTCAGCAAACTGGATGATAAACTTTTGGCTTCTTGTCATTTTGTGTGGTTCTTTCAGCCTATAAAGAGAAAGGAAAAGGACCTTAAAATAGCATCCGCTCAGAAAAATGTCACTTGAGATAGTGGTCGTGCAAGGAAAAAGTGCTGACAATCTTGTGATGTCACAATAAGTTTATCAACATTTACGACAGAACTAAGTGTAAAAGAAGTCTTCCTTTGCCTCTAAGACCAATGCCTTAGATTGTGTTACAAAGGAGAAATAGGCTGTGATAATAAGTGCAAAGCGGGAGAGATGCAGTTTTAGTTGATGGTTTGGGTAAGCAGAAGTTCCTAAGATATTTTAGCAGCTCTGACACTGCCTTGATTTCTGGCCTTCACCATGGCATGTCACCCTCATCTCAGTCTCTACATTTGACAAAAGGTAAATGATAGGCAAATCAGCCTTTTGTGAAACACATTTATATACAGCATTGCAGAAGTGCTAGATACCGGCATTGAGCCAGAATCAGAAAAAGCAAAGGCAGTTGCTTTCTTCCGCAGGAGGACAGATAAGAGAAGCCACTGTACGCAGGAAATGTGCTAGGTACATGTATTTAACACACGTCCTGCTGCTAAGAAATTCAAGGTTGGAGGCAGGCATCTTTGAACTAAAATAGAAAGGCTGTGTTTTCATTAAACACTCATTTGCATATGCCTAAAACTGACAAGCAGGAAAAAACAGACATGTCTAAAAATGTCCATTTAGAATAGACACCGTCTCTCTCAACACTGAGATATTCAAATCTTACATTTTTCTAGTGCCTTCTACCCAAAGCACTTGACTTAAACAGAGGAATAATTTCCCCCAGTGCTGAAAAACGTACAAAGAGCAAAGTTTTAATAGCACACTGCAATACTACCCATTTCTAGGGCAGCCGGGGAGACTTAAATGAAACCAGTTCCTCAGGTTGGCTGGATGCTCTACACAACTCCTCTACCCTTCTCATGAGTGCAGTCTCAAATAACCCAATGAGGACTCATATATTTACCTACAAACTGAAGAGACTATACTTCCAACAGAATTTGATTCCTAGGGCCATGCTTGGGCATTAAGAAATGCAAGATACTACCCAGGTTTTGATGAGAGTTTTATTTGAAAGCTCGTTGAACATTACTTCAACCATGCAGTTGGTCCAATACAAGATATTACCCCCCAAAAATCCTTGCTTTTTGCATAATTCCTGGACCAACACAGTTACATCACCCTTAACACTACCACCATTTGTTTCAGCGTTCAATTTTTCTTTGGAGCCTCCCCTCTAAGAAATGTCCCAGGCAGCTTGAGAAATCTGACTATGCTGTGCCTGCAGTCTGCATGGCCATTTAATTTCCTCGATCCCCCATCACCGGTGTGTGCGTATCACTTACTTGAGAATGATCGAAGGCATGGGTATTTCTAAGAACTCTTCCCTGAAGGGAATGAATGGCAGCAAACCTGTGTAGAACAAGCCAACAAGGAGGAGGACACGTTGCAAGCAGAAGATGGTAGGAATATCTGCATTCTGTAGAGGCAGAAAAATAACCCAAGTTATCTAGCAAATTGCTGAAAGCTTTGTGATGAAACTGAATCTTCCGCCAGCCTGCTGTAAACTTGAGCGCTTGTGCTTAAAGGATTTAAAGCCTAATTTTCCGACTGTCCAACTTGAATAGGTTTGCCCTCAATTTTGAAAACGCTGCCTGGTAACCTTGTTAAAGTCCACGGCAACTGTAAGGGGCAGTGGTGGGCATGAAGCCATGCATTTTAATGGGTCAGGCACTGTGCTACCTGCCTCCTCGTATAGTCTTACAAATTCCTGCAGGAAACACAGTGAACTCTGTAATGGGCTCAGCACTTCCTGTCTCTGACCCCTGGGATCATAGAACAGTTGTGCTCTAATTGTGATCCCCACTAATGGTACATGAGCCTGATGTGAATTCACTTCACAACATCAGTGAAATACAGGAACCATCACTAAGAAATGTAGCTGTAGCTGATATGGGCAAGCAATGCTGTCCAGTATCAGTACAGACAACTGAGCACCCTCCAGCAAACCAGGAGGGCTGCACTCAGACATTATCACTTATTTAAATAGGAATGTGGTTTAGACTGCATCCAGAACAGCCACCAGAGGGGTAGAAAAACCAGCCATCAGCCTCATGATGCCCAGATCTTCAGTGCCCCAAGTCCGAAGAGCACACCAGCCGAGATGAATATGGGCAAGAAAAATCGCTAGCAGGGGAACCCTTAATGGAAACAAGGGGACAGAGAGACAAATTCTGAAGATTTAAGTGGCAAAAGGCAGGAACAGCCCTACTCCCTCTGCCATTAATCTGATCTCGCCTACCTTTATTGATCCTGTATCAAAGATGTGTGTGACATTACTGCACAGTACAAAAACCCTGCCAAAACTGAACTGGGGCTATATCAGCACACACTACCGCTTTCACTATACTGGCATATTGGTACCGACACAGTTTTAAAGCAGTTAAAGGTGTTAGTGTTCGGTATAGCTAGTTTCTGTACAGGAAAAGGAATAAGCCTATGCTGGTATAAAGCACCTTTTTACCAGTATAACAGTGTCCAAACCATAGGCTGTACCAACCAATTTTAGCACAAAGTCATGTCCTGGGACATTCCAAAACAGGCAGAGAGTGGTAGGGTGGCCAGGCCTTGCTCCTTGAATGTTTTACTATAGAGCAAACAGGTCTTTAGGAACCTCTAGAAGAGGGAGTGAAAGTTGTTGGAAAGGCTGTCCTAGTTATCAGGTGTAGTGATCCAGGCAGCACAAATTAGAGAGCGCATGCAGCAAACTAGGGAGGTAGGAGGGAACTTCAGGAAAGTCCAAGAAAGAGCAGGATGGAGAATTAGTCTTGAAAATGAGGAGATCTTAGCCTTGATGCAAAAGGGAACCAGAAGGCAAGAACAGGGTCTGTGACAGCACAAGGGAAGAGGAAGTATGCAAGGAATATCAGCGAAGCGTCAATTAAATGCATTTGCATTTGTTAAAATGAACACAAGTCAATGATTAAAAACATCAGACTTTAAAACTTATCAGCACTTCTATGTCTGGTATCAGCACTTCTGTTTGCGGTTAGTATCACGGTGCTACAACAGATCTGAGCCCAATAAAAAAAAACCCCTGTGTATATGGGCAGAGCGCCCCATTTATAGAGTATTTTTCTGTGTTACGACCTTGCTGAAACAGACACGCAGGATGGGGACTGAAGCTTGCATTGAGTGCTGGTATTTCTTTCAGTGCTTACCTCCTTAACACACTTTGCTACAACTTCATGACTGACATTGCCCCACACAGTCAAATGCTCTCGTTTGTACTGGCTCACCAACTCTGAAACCTGCAATTAACAATTGGAAAGTTCAGCACAGTGTTTTAGATCAAGATGTGTAGACCACTAGCATATCTAATTGAAAACACTTGGGGAATTTTGGAAAAGCTGAATGCCTAAACTGGAATTTGACAAGGATATCACAGGTTCCTCTTACGTGATGTACCATGTGTGTATTTGTGCTGTATCTTAGTGATATGAGGGTGCCAAATATCAGAACCTCCCTTTTGTACACCCCCTGAAAAAAAACCCAATCTACTAATGTAGTGTCCCCTCCTTTGCATCATACTGAGGCACAGATCCAGGTCTGACTCGGGAGAAAGAACATTGGCCCCCAGATCACCAGTATGCCTGCTGCAACACCCAAGACTTTCCCCTGCAATCTGTTACCCGAATGCAGATAAGACCTGACCTCTGCATGATATGACTCAAATTCAACTCAAGGTGATTTGGCTGTGGGAAGTAGTAAAATGTATTACACACCTTCTTAATCAGCACATTGTTGTTCACTTTGATGTCAATATTGACGGGAGTTTGGGGGAATGCCTCAAACACTTCCTTCAGCAGTGGAATACGATTATCTTTACCCTCACAGTGGCACTCTGGGAAGGGAAGTAGAGTTTTAGGTCACCGCTTCAACTTATCAATACTTTGCAGATAAAAAGAATCACAAAAAATACTCAACCTTTTGCTCAATAATATAAAAAGAAAATAATTTCTAAAAGCATATGCTTTGAGCTGAGAAAGAAGATCCTGACCCTATCCCAAGGAAGCCAGATCAAGGCTACCCCAGACAAAAGTTACCTTTCTGAAACGTGACATCCAACTTGCTGAGATAAGATGGGAGCTCCTTTAAAAATACAGAGGAAATAAACGTTAGTACACATGCACCGATGCAATTGTTGCATTCCTTGAAAAAGAGATAGCATAACACGTTTTAAGCCATCCATTGCAAATTCTCTTGGAAACAAAGGGAACGTTTGTATATATTTTTAAGGACTCCTTGCCTGCAGCCCCAGCACCAAAATAGCTTTATGATTTGTTCAGAAGAGGAAATAAATAAGAGGGAAATGTTTTTCCACTTAACAGTGAGTGAATAAAGACTGTTTTTGAGACTCTCATGGAAGACTCCAGCAATTCTGTTAAAACGCTAGTGTAAATGACACAACTGCAAGAAACGTGTTTTTTTTACACAGTTACCTAGTGCTCTGACACTCGGTGAAAGGCGCTCTACAATGAGCAACACATTGGAGGCTACAAGCGCAGCGTCCATTGTTTCCTTCCCTTCTCCAGTCCTTCGGCCACTGCAACAGTAGAAGGGTTGGAGTGCTGTTGTAGCCGTGGGGGTCCAGGAACCACGCAAGGGGCAAGGGCTTGCGCGATATCTTGTACTTGAGCTGACTGCATGGTTGGGAGAGGTACTGGGTGAGCTTTCAGGCACAACGTGCATTGCGCAGCCTCCCCCCCCTTTGACTATCTGCTCCAATTTACCGAGTACTTGAGGTCAGATATATTGATGTCAACTCCAGTCGATCTCTTCAGGTTCTCATCATGCGACACCACCACTTGCTCGTCTTTCGTCAGGTGACAGTCTAGCTCCAACATGTCTGTCCCTATCTTAACCGCACTGCAACAAGAAAGCAAGCTTGAAAAATGTTCCCTTTTGGAACTTACAAACACATCCGTTAAAAGACTTCATCTAGTTAAGTTAGATTGAAAGCACTTTACAAATGCAATGCAATTCATTCTCATGACGTATCTACGACAGATCTCAACAATTCTCTCTTTTTTTTTTCCCAGGGAAATGCTGAGGCACAACTTGTGCAAAGCCGCACACAGAGTCAGTGTCAAGAGCTGAGCCTGGAACCCACGTGTTCCCGGGTCATGTGTCTCTTATCCTTTCTCTGCCAGTAACGTCCAGGTTTCACCATGCTAGCGCGTACGTCACCATAGAAGAATTACCCTTTCAGGATGAGGGCAGGCCTCAGACACTTTAGAGCAAAAATATTTACTGCTGGCAAAGTCTTAACTGGATTTCCCTGTAACATGAGTTTCATGATCGATGTAGGATTTTCTTTCAAGCAATTAAGGTTGCTTGTTGTTCAGTTCTTTGCTAAGTATGAATGACAAGTGACACACGAGGGGCAAGGTAAAGAAATGCTGAACGCTTTAGTGTGGCAATTCTTTAAATAGGCAGCCTGATTTAAATGAGCAGGGACGATATGGCTCAGGGGATTACCAGTGGGACTGAACAGCTTGTGTTTTGTACTACGCAAGAGATGCACGGCTGTGACCATTGCATAAATGCTAGCTGCCCCATAAAATCAAGTCACTATCAAACAGGAATACGTATGCCACAGAAGCCAGTTCTCCCATACCTCCGTTAGTCTCAGTCAAGGGAAAAAGAGCCAAAATAGATCAAATTCCCTTTGTCAACATGCAATGGACACTCGCCAGTCAGTTCTGATACAGGGTCTGCAGCGGTGCAGAGAACCTCTGAATAGCAACTATACTGCTTTTTTTGGTAACATTTAAATTAGTTTTAGTTGACTTAATAAATCTGGTTTTGTTTCAAGTTTGAATTCACTGTTGTTGGTCTCTCCTTCTGAAAACTGAAAGTCTAGCTTTGAGCCTTTCTTAATTTTCAGTGTATGAAAATCAAATCCCAAAAGGCTGGGTGAGAATCATTTCAGTTTTGTTCCGGTTTTGCATGCTGGACGCTATTTTAAAATGTGTGATACTGAGTGACAAGACGCCTCTCAAACCAGTGTGTTAAAAGGATAAATCATTGACTTTGAAAGCTGTAAATGTCACTCACTTAGAAGATATGGCCTCATTTTAACAGCATTAAAAAGTAGTCAAAGGTTAAGTAATGACAAGTACACATACTATTATGTAATGCTCTATTGGGCTTCATGGGCAAAGATCTGAGCACAAGGACTTAAATCTTCTTGATTTTCTGAGGGAGCTGAAGAGAAAAGGTGCATCATTTTGTGTACGATGCATATCCAAAGATATTACTTCCTTGACCAGTGATGGTGGTCAATACAATTTTATATAACCACATTCATGTTTAGGTCTTTTCATTTTAATGGGTTTAGGATGAGTTTAGATTGGATTTTTATTTAACACTCATTAAGAAAAACCCACATTTTAATTTTCATAACAGCACACACAACTGAACATGATTTGTTTCATTGTCTTGAAATTCTCCGAGTATCAAAACTCATAAATCATCAAGAGGGGACAGAGGAGACAGAGAAATCCTTGCAAGAATTGCTGCAAAACGAGATCCCCAAACAAAACTGGATTGGAATCAGCTGCGTATTCTCCAATGACCTGTATAGAAGACAGCCGGGAATTTACAACTCCCATTACATTTGAAAATCTTTTGGTTACAACAGCAAAATATTTTTGTTCCCTGCTTGCGCGTGCGTCTTCAACATTGGCAAATCGAGTTCAACAACAGCATTTTGGCCCTCATCCAGAGCTCACTAAAAACATATAGGAGCCTTTTCTTTGATTTAATAGGCTATGAATCAGACCTTTTAATAAAATCGGGACAAATCAGAAACATATATAGGCAACAGAGTGATGCAAATGTCACAACTACTGCCATGATGGCTTTTTTTTTCCCCCCCACGCGATTTCTGGCTTATATCTAACGACAATAAAGACTGGGAGTGTGTCAAAGTAAAACCAGTTTCTTATTAATGACTACCTTGGAAAGGACATGAAGTGCTACGAGGACAAATAGTAATTATACAACCACCTGTTTCCAGGTGACTGAATTGCCCAGAACAAGGCAACATCTCCAGTCCAGGACATTTGTCAAATTAACCAATGTTTCATTTTGCTTTCAGAATTTGCTATGAAACGGTAATGTTGCCAAAAACTTCAGTCCTCACGCCGAGTGGAAGCAGCAGAACAAGAGAGCCGATTGTCAACAGTCTTGAGCAGTGGCCAGGCTGTTACTATATCTGTTGTTAAAGGGCTTCTCTTCTTACTACTTCGCGTTTTCGGCTGGAAATGACAGCTTGATCGGCAGCACATCACAACGTCTCGAATCCGCACTGCTCCTAAGAGGACTCGAGATACTGCCCGGACACAAAAATGCAAGGTCTGAATAGTGTTTTGATACTGCTGGCCAATGTCCACAGGACTCGAGATGCAAGACTTGTGTCCTTAGCTCACAATAGTACCGCTGTCTGTTTTCTGACCGCCCCAACTCCTTCCGAGTAGTGGAAAATATCCGAAAAAAAGCCTGGAGGTTCATTCATGTTGGACACAGTCCAGATCAGTACAATGCCTATAATTTACAAAGACCAGGCTGACAAGTCCTGTAATTTCCCTATGGTCAGCAAATCCACTAACGAGCTACCTCACCTAACCAAAATCAATTCCGACAAGAAATGAAAACACAATAAAAACTGAAATGGGAATCTCCTGGCATCTAAATAAGCTGAGGTCCTCGGGACACAGCAATACGTTGCAAGTTTCAATTACAGATGCAATTAAATTGCTGTTGATCCATATAGCATGCCAGGTCCCAAAATAATTAAAGGTATGTGGAAAAAAACCCAAAGATTTATTTTCCCTAAAGAAATTGTTTTACACCTAATATTATAGTGCAAAACATTTAATCATATTATAAAATGTAAAATCCCAGAGAAGCATGTTTGCACTGTGTAACAATGCAAACAAAAAATACAGTCAGTGGCACAAAGGATTTATAACTGAAATCAGCTGTGAATCTGGCAGAGAGAAATACTGAAAAATCCAAATACCGCCTCAAAACACAGTGATTCAGAGACCATTCTTCCAGGCAGGAGCAATGACCTATACACCTCTGAGTTTGGAGATACTTAAATAAGAGGAAATTATCCAAGTAAGAAATTTGCAATCTACCCTTACTGATACATCAATTCACTAAATTAAAGGAAAGAGGAAAAATCTGCTAGACCTCACCTCAACCAATTATAGTCAAACTCTAGGTTGAGCTTAATGTTAAATAGTCAAAAGATACAGCTTTAAAACTATGGCAATCTATTAAATAAAGGCCCAGAAAATGGTAACCAACTGCTTTGAGAAATGTGTGCTAGCACAGTTCAAGAAAAAAAAGAAAGAGGGGGTTTACAAACCCACAATGCTAAGCTGCCATGGAGATTAGAAACCCAGTGGCACTTTTCAATACTGCTGTTTGGTTAGAAATACTGGCACTGCTGAATACTCTGGAAGAAAATGTACTAACAGATGAGGCTGCTAAGTATAAAGCAAGTTTAAAAAAAAAAAAAAATCAACTTCTTAGTTTAATTCAACTTCTCACTTTTTTGCTCAGCTTCAAATGGCTTTAGTGCAGATCAGCGTAACATGTGAACCACACAAAAAGCTTTTAGATTTATTTATGAACATGCTGACTCTGCACGGCATCCTAAACCTATTGCCAAGAACTGACACCAAGATTATTGTTTCCAAATGCACTGAAGTCAATACTAACCATGATCTTCATTACAAGACACTTATTCAGCAGAAGACACCATGCTTCTCAAAGGCAAGCAACGTATGGCATATTTTGCCAGTTAGCACATATTCCCTAGGAGTCAGGTGTCCTAATACTCTATTCACAAATACCACTTTACCGTAAAACCAGGGGCAAGTCACAATTTCTGTGCCTCAGTATTTTCCAAATTTTACAAATGAGAAACTTAGCAACTCTCTCTCATCGCCTGAATGAGAGACGTTCTACAAATGTAAAGCATGAGAGAAATAGAATATTTTAATCTCGGACAGATGATCTGTGGCATGTGTGTTTCTTTAATGACTCAGTCAGAAAAAAAACAACCAAAAAAATTAAGCAAAGAGTAATACGGAGTGTGCGCGCTCCTCTTGTACTCACTGATGAAATGCAGTCATTGTATTTTCCAGGTTCTCTCCGGCACCTGTGGAAAATGTTAAAAACAAATTAGAAAAAAAGGGACTAAAATCTCCTCCTTCCTCCAGATGCTGCCAGAGAACAGGATTAACATATTGAACTGAACGGGTGAAAAATAAGTATTGTGAAGAAACATGGCCTGGAAGAATGAATACAAGGCTGAAGTCAGGAACTTCGTTCTAACTGTAGCTGAGACCGACCCATTTGTTTTTAATCTTAGAAAAGTATCACCGATTTGTGCCTCAGCTTCCCAATCTGAAAAATGGGTGGAATCCGTAATTTATAAATGTGCACAAAACCTTTGGGTTTGTATAATCCTCGACTATATCAATCACTGAAGTGTTTAGCTTGTATAATAGAGAACAAAGATGTTCAAGCTTTGCCCAAAGGCCACAATGGGAATTTGCACCAAGACTTCAACTCCAGGAATATAATATTCTGCTTGGATCCTGTAGCTCTAACCTGAAAAAATGCAGATGAAGGCCCTTTTATATAGTGTCTCACTGGGCTATTTCAAGCAAGATCTAGAAAGGACAAGATCCATTTAAGAGGTGTTCCCTTTTCTGAATATTTGTTTACATAACACATCAAAAGCACAAGTGAACCACAAGACTCGATAATTAGATGTGGCAATGAAGATAATCATCTACTATGAACAAGTCACATAAAATAGCTTTGTCTGATTGACATGTGTCCAGTGATCTGGGTTTACCTGCATCTTGTATTCATTAAGACAGAAAGACAGAAAGGAAGGAGTCCAGTGCTACTTCTTCACCAGTTCTGTAAAGTAATTAAAATATTGCTAACTCTCTGAACATCTTAAGCTACAGCTTACATATGCATTTTTAAATTAACTCATTTTCAAATGCAAGAAGATAATTTCAGCCTCCAGCCAGGGAGGTTTCCAATGTCATTATTTAAAAAGCGAGTTGAACCCAGCAGCAGCAGCCACATCGTCCCAAAGAAAGGAAGGTCAATACTGTTAGACCCGCTCGCATCACAGAAGAACTGGGGCTCAAGTATCTCTGGCCATGACAGTGTGATCCATAATGCAGCAGCAGAAGAGGCAGGAGATCTATTTCAGGGACTGGGGAGTAAGGAGAGAATGAACGCTGGGAGAAAAGTCAGCTTAATCTCCAAGCCCATCCTCCCTGCACACACTCCCCAGCTTATGTACAAGGGAAGGTGAAGAAATGCCTCCTGTTCAGCACTGAAACCTCCACTAGAAACATACTGCTCTAAACGTGTTCTGCATTGATCCTGCCTGAATGAGGCAAAAGCAGATCACAGCTCTAGACCAGGATGACAACTCATGCCTTTTTGTAAAAAAAAGTGTCAGCAGCAACATCAATGTTCTCCATCCGAAACCGCCAAGGCAATGGCTGGTCCTCATGGTGCTGCCTCTTGTTTCCACCTACTGCACTTCATTAAAAGATAACCTAACATTACATCCTCACCAGTTCCCTGTACTGACTTGCTCCAATTTGTCACAGCATATCGTTGCGAGTGGGGAAGGTGGCCTGAGACGCACGCAAGCTGTGGTCCACATTAAAGCGATGGGGAAAATCCTGGTCCACGGTTTACAACAGCCCTCAAGTATTTTAAGACCTCGTCTCAGTTGTTCGATACGTGGCATCTTTTGCAACTTGGTGAGTAGATCAACCATGGTATAAAGCGGTCCTATTAATTTACATCCTACTGTTTGCTAAATGTAGACATGATATACATGTGAGGGGCAAGGATTTCTTTGGGTGGTATCTTTTATTGGATCAACTGCAAAGGTGGGATAGAGTTAGACTAGATTTTAAATGAAAGGCAGCAGCTTGTCTAACTCTATCCCACCTCCACAGCTGATCCAATAAAAGATATCACCCAAAGAAATCCTTGCCGCTTGCATAATTCTTGGACCATCACATCTACAACATCACTGCCATTACCATGACATGATGTATACCACACTGTACCAAGCTGAGGAAGACCGTGTCCCTGCCTTATTACGCAGCTGACACCCTAAATAGAGAAGCAGTCATAAAATGTTCTGAATTATGACAAGCTGAATTAATCTGTCAGAAGTATATATTGGATACCAAGCTGGAATTACCAGAGAATAAAAGCCTATATATTAAAAATGTAGGACCAAAAGCTACACTAATAGGGTGCTTTCTGAACCAATTTGAATAATATCAACAGAAGCCTAATTAGCATGCAAAAAGGAAAGACACACCTCAAGCTGTGGTGGCCAAAAGAACATTAATTTCAGCTGGGAAATGATACACAAATGAACTTTCCTGCGAGCCAGGAATAAAGAAAAGATTTACAGGCTGAATGTGACATTTCCTGAAGTTTGAAGCAGCTTTCAAAATCGCTCTGCAGTGGGACAGGAAATAATTATATCTTTTTTTACTCTGGGAAACATCTTTTGCTCAACACTGAATTGAACTTGAAATTTAAAGCAGCTTCAGTCTGAGAAAGGAACATTTTACTGGAGAAAAGACCTGGACAAATTTTAGTTGCCCCTTGGTTATGACAAAGGCTGAGACCACATTACTGATGCATGTCTACTGTTTTCCTATTGCTTTTATTTTCTTGCTTGCATCCATTTAGGTCACCCTTTATAAAGGTTATATCTGGTTTCACACCTTATTTTGCTTTGCTATTTACCCAGGCAGCCTCAGGAGAGATGAGTCAAAAGAGAGGTAACAAAAGGGAATCAGGGGTTTAAGGCCTCATCTACTTCCAAAGTTAGCTTAGCTTAATGATGATTTTTAACTGCCTTAGTTCCACTACAGCAAGACCACTTGCAGGCACATTCACCTGGATTTGAACCTGGCATATAGAGACGGATAAATCGCAAAGGACCATCCTCACCTGATGGCTGGAGTAAGAATCTCAACTTATCTTAAAGCTTCAACTTTTACTGCAGCCCAAAACCTATAGTAGCAACAGTGAATTGTAAGTGAAGGCAAAGGGAAAAATCAAATCAATTCTTCTGTTTTCATCAAAACCGCAGCACCTTGTCACGCCTATCTGGATAGAAAAACCTATGAATAAAGTTCTGACCGGCTTGGCCAGCTACAAGGTACCAGTGGATAAAGAGGCCAGCAGCAGAAAACCCTGTTTGCAGTGCTTTTTGAGGAGTGGAAAGAAATAACCAGAGCAGAGAGTCAATGGAAAGTTTCAAAGGTACTGGAGTGAACACATCCAGAACCTGAGAGTCAGACGAGATAGCTGAGCCAGGCCTGGGGCTCAGCTGCCTTGGCTGGAATAACGGTCTGTGCTGACCGAGGTCAGTTAGCAAGGTGTGTAGAGACTCTGGGAAAAGAAGGAAGAATTAAAACAAGCAGGATGAAGCAAAAGCATTAGCAACAAAATACATAAATAAATCAGTGAGGGGGGCAAAAACCCACATAGGCTCCATCTCCAAAGGGACCAGATTTCTCCACAGCAGAAACAGAAATCTGATGCGAGATCTGGGCACCCGCTTCCTTTTAAAATTTTGAGCATGGGGGAACGCTACCCAGAAACGTGGTAAGAGACCCATTAAAACGGATGTCTAGACCCTGCTGGTAAGATCCATTTTGCTTGAGATCTATTTGAAGGTTTATGGTAATTAGGTTAGGAAGCAGGATGAAGATGCTCGGATACCACAGTAAAGGATATTGTCTAAGGACTTAGCAGAAGATTAAAACATGTGCACGAGTGAAGGAATGCAATTTAATGCGACGCTCAAGGGCAGCCTACCCAGTGAATCATGCACGGTTTAATAAAGGAATCCTGTGAAACAACTAAAAAACCAAGGTTTTAAAGTGATGTACGGTAGCAGCACTCGGAAAAACTAAGTTTAATGAGCAAACCTGGCACTAATCTGGAAAAGATCCATATTAAAAAAAAGTAAACCCTTTGCCAAGAGCAATCAAGATTTTATTTTTTGCAGATGCTCAGCCTCTGAAATATTGTAACGCTTGCACTGAAAGATAGAACTGAAACTTTCTGCATTTGTACGG